TTGATCAAATTTACAATACACCAATATAACCATTATTCTATTATAAATTATTAATTATTAATTATTTTTTTAACAATAACAGAAAAGAGCTGATAAAAAAGCACAAGAAGATAAGAAAAAGCAAGAAGAAATTAGAAATTATACTTCGGTTATGAAATCTGATAATATGAAATCAAATAAATATAGTGCTATAGATGATGACGATTTTATGTAATATTATTATTTTTATAATATTTTTAGTTATAAATTAATTATTTATAAAAAAATAAAAAATAAAAAATAAAAAATAAATGAATCAATAGAATCAAATTAAAAACTTTTTTAATTAACTAAATTTATTTCCATACATATTGATTTGTTGTCAAACCTTTTACAATCAATAAAGTTTATATATTAATTTTGTTTTAATTTCATCCATTTTTTTTTTATTTTTTGTTTGGGAAATCTGTTTTTACTTTTTTTTAAAAATCATCTTATCCCAAATAGTAAATCAATAATGCTATAAAATGTTTTTTTTTCTTTTTTTTTTATTTATTTATTTATTTTATTTTTTAAGTCTTTTAGAAAATCAAATAATATTTTTTTTGTAATGTATGTGATGTGTCATCAATAAGCTTATTATTATTATTTTATTTTATTTTTTTTTGAAAAATCATTTTTTTTTCGTAAATTAGAACCTCTTGTGTGTGATGATATTTTTAAAAAAAAATTTCTTTTTTTTTTATAATTTTTATAATTTTTTTTATTATAAATAATTTTTTTAATTTTTTTTTTTTTTAAAAATATTTTTTGAAATACGACATCTTTTTTATTTTTTTTTTATTTTTAAAAACTATAGTGTCAAGTAGCAGCATCAGTAGTGGTTATTTATAACTTACATATTATACTCCTACTTTATTTTTTATTATTTTTTATATTTATATAATAATAATAGTTTCGAGATAAATTAATATTAATTTATTTTCATAAAAAAAAAAAAACAAAAACAAAAAAATTTTAAAAAAAAGTTTTTTTTTTGTATTTTTAAAAATATATTTATTTTATTAATCATCAACCAAATCACCTAAAATAGTATTAATAATAATAATAATAAAATTAATTAATTAATCATTTAAAAAATAAAATAAATTATGGATTATCTTTCATTAAAATTCATCGAACCATATTGGTTTAGTTTTGTAGATTATTGGGGTGAAGACTTTCTCATTACTTATGGCACATTTATTGCCCACGAAGTCTTTTACTTTGGCTCCTATATTCCATTCTTTATCTGTGATTTTATCCCATACTTAAAAAAATATAAAATTCAACCAGTAAGTAATTTTATAATTTATAAATAAATAAACATATAAATATTTAATACTAATATTTTTTTTTTATTTTTTTTATTTTTAGAATAAAGAAAATAATATGAAATTACAATTTAATTGTGTATTAAAAGTTGTTTTAACTCATATTTTCGTTCAATTACCAATGATGTATGTTTTCGACCCAGCTATTAAAGCTTCAGGTTTAAGTGCTAGAGCTCCATTACCATCTATTCCATATTTATTATTAACTATAATATGTTCATTCATCATTGAGGATTTCTATTTCTATTGGGTTCACAGAGCTTTACATCATGGTATCTGGTATAAATACATTCACAAGGTTCATCACGATCATGCTTCTCCATTCGGTATCACTGCCGAATATGCCCATCCACTCGAAACTTTAATTCTTGGTGCTGGTACTGTCATTGGTCCATTCATTTTCTCTCGTGACCTTTTCACTCTTTGGGTTTGGTTAGGCACTCGTTTATATCAAACTGTTGAATGTCACTCTGGTTATGACTTCCCATGGAGCATCACAAACTTAATCCCATTCTGGGGTGGTGCTCATTTCCATGATTTCCATCATGAAACTTTTGTTGGTAACTACGCTTCAACCTTTACCTATTTAGATAAAGTTTTTGGTACCTCATCTAAATATTATTCAAGACAACAAATCAAAGAATCAAGAAAGCATGCAGCCCAAGGCAAATCTGAATAAATCAAATCAAACAAAACCAAACAAAACAAAACCAAACAAAACAAAACCAAACAAAAAAATTAATATATATCATATAAATATATATTTAAATAAAATATGATAATAATAATAATTTTTTTCAATTTTTAAATAGTTTTCTTTTTTTAAATATTATTATTAAATCATTTTTTTAATATCCAAATTTTTTTTTTTTTTAAATAAATAAAATTATATTATTAAAAATATTTAGTTTATAAATATTTAATAATCATAATATTCTAATTGAACAACAGAACAAAGAAAAAGAAAAAGAAAAACTATGCAAGTTAATATTAGTCAAACAAAAACAATTAATTTCAAAATATACTATTTAAAAAAATAAAAAAGACCTTTAATAATGTATTATAATTAGTTTTTTTATTTATTTTATCAATTTTCTTTTATAAATTCGAAGGGTTTTTAGAAGATAATGAAGATGTATCTTTTAATATTTTATTGATTTTAAAGATGCAATTATTTTGGAAAAAAATTTTGGGGATGTATTATAAAAAAACATTCTTTTTAAATTATAGTGCACTTTTTAAATCTGGTATCCAACTGGCAAATTTCTTTATATTTTTTATTAAATAAGGTTTCAAATTAATAATCTTACTTACTGAATCGTTTTTATTGATAGAAATAGAAATAAAATAAATTATAAGGCAAACAAAATAATTTAATTTTTATTGTTTTAAATATTAGGTAACTCAATTATATAAGTAATAGTGTGTTCAGAGTGTAAAAGTATGACAAATTTATTAATAAATTATTTTAAAATCTAATAAAAAAAAAGTAGTATATCCCTAAGGTTTAAATAAATTAAAATAAATATCCAATTAAAATAGTGGACAAATCTGTATTAATGGTTAACCAAGATTTTTTGGTTTATTCATTCAATTAGAGCAAGGGTTAACCCAAATTATTAATTTACTTTTTAATTATTATAATTTCAATTTTAGTAAAAATTTGGACCTTATTTTAATAAAACATAGCGTTTTCAAGAAAAGCCTGGATGGCTTTTTTTTGCTTTTTAAAAATATATTGGAATGTTTATTCCATTTTATTATTTTATTAATTATAAGACCTAAGTATCTGAATTGACCAGATATTACTTGAAGCAAAATTAAACCGTTGCAATTTTGGTTGAATAAATTGAATTATTCTGAGGTAACTTAATTTATTATTGCAAGAATAATAAATTTCCGGGGATCCAACTTTCTTTAAAGGTGGTGTTACTTCATAAAAGATGCCCACATCTTAGACTAATAGAACATGAGTTAAACATTACAGCCCTTGGCAGATTAGCATAGCATAAGTTTCATCTTGTACGGAGAACCTTGGGTTAGTGTTTCCTTGCAAAGGAAACCTTCTATCCAGTTAAATAGCACGTATACAGCTCGGTATAACTTTAGTGCATTGGAGTAGAGTCTTGTTAATCCTTTCGGTTGACTATGGATATGTACAGATGCCATATATATCTTTTATTTAGAATAAAATGATATATTGTTTTTTAAAAAAAAAAAAAATGAAAAAATGAAAAAAAGAAAAATGAAAAAGAAAGAAAAAGAAAAAATAAAAAAGTGGTAATATTTATAAGTTTGTGTTGTTTTGTGGTTTTTCTATTAATAGATTGAGTGGTTTGTTTTTGTTGATGATTTTTGTTAGTATTAATTGGTTTCTGTTGCATATTTGGTTTGTGCAAAAAGATGTAAATTCAATGATTTCCTTTTCGTTAAATTTACAATGATTCTTTAGCATTTTAACCAAATGTTTTGGGACATAACCTATTGCACTAGATAGAATATTATTATCAGTGAATAATTTATTTTTAAATATGTTATTTTGTGAGATGTTTGTGGAATTGTAATTATCAAACCAGCTTAATGTTTCTATGTTTGGAGATGAGTTTTTGAGTGTACTGGATAAAGATAATAGTTTGTTTGTAATGATTCTCCTTGTATCAGATCTTATTGTTTCAAAGTCTGTGCAGTCTAATAGTATATGTTTTAATGTTTGTGGTATATCATTATTACAGTTTTTACAGTTTGAGTTAAACTCTGGTTTTAGCAACCTCATTCTTTTCCATGTATCTAGCCATGGACCATTATTAGTTATTAATTTGTTCATTAATGTATGGAATTTTGATGGTAGATTATCTAATATTTTAAGGTGAATGTAAGTATCAGTGTTTTTTATGGTATCAAGTAGTATGATGCTTTGGTGTTTATATTGATTAATTGTGTTAATTCTATTATTTTCATTTAACATTTTAACATATTTTTTTGGGTTCCAAATAACTTTATTGCTATTTTTTTTGGTTCTTTTATATGCAAATGTTGGTGGTATATAATTGTTTGAAATTGGTAGGGTTAATGCTTTTTTTGCTAGCTTATCTGCAATTTCATTACCAATTATATTTGAGTGTGCTTTAACTTTAATAAAGTTTGTATTTTTTTCATCAAAGTTATCTCTTTTTAATTTGTATTTAAATAATTTTTTTATAATTTCAAAGAATGGAGTTCCAAAATATTGGATTGGATATGGGTTTTGTATCAGTGATTCAATTATGTCAATTGAGACTTGACTATCTGTATTGATGTTTATTTTATGGTTGATTGGATATGATGAAAGAATGTGTGTAGGTGCTGATAATTCGGCTCCTGTTATTGTTTTTGCAGTTCCTTCTATAAAGTTTAAACTTATATTCTCGGATTGGTTATATATACCATAGCCTGCTTTTCTTTTATTGTTAATTTTTTTATATGAACCATCTGTATAGAATTCAGTAGGTATTTGATTAATTTGTCTTATTAATGGGTTGGGGTATATATTTTTGTAATTGAATTTATCGTAAGTTGTGATTTTTAAAAGTAAATTCATAAATTCATCTTTTATGTTATTGGTAGAGTTGGTGCAAATTAATCTTTTTAAGATTTTTGAGCATTCATTAGACCATTCTGGTAAATGTTGTGTAATGACATTTTTATCTTGTAATTCATATTTATCATTTAGTTTAATTAATAATGAATTATAATTTATATGAGCTTCTTCGTTGGTATATAATATTATTTCACTATTTGTTATAAAGTTAAGTGGAATATTATTTAAATTTTTTAAAACAGGGATGTTTTGTGTTATTTTAAGGTTGTATTTTTTAATTGAATCGAACCATCTTTTAATATAAGAGTAATCATTTTCAATTATTTTACCTTTTAGATATAGTTTATTTTTATCTCCCTTCCAGTGTCTATATTTATTTATAATTTGGGTGAAAGATAAAATTGTTTGTTTCTCATTTGTGTTTAGACATTTGCAAAGGTTATGTATTCTGTTCTGGTGAATAATATTATTCAAATCGAATAGTTGGTAACCTAAGTTTTCCTTTTTTAGGTAAAAGAAATTTGATATTGTATTTTTAAAGTAATTACCACTTTTTTTTATTGCTCCTAAGATTTCTTTTTTAAAGTTGCCTATGGATGTTTGGGTGTATTTGGTTATGGCAGTACCATAGGTAACTATTGGAATTACCATTGAATTAATTGTGTCAACTAGTTGTGATGTTAATAAACATTTTCTTTTTAAATTGTTTAAAACGCATTTTGCTTTTTTAAATGTTATTTTTTGGTGATCCATCCAATCTAGTTCTAGATTTATGTTAACACCTAAATATTTATATGATTGGTTTAATTTCAATATTGGAAAAGATTTATCTTTCCATTTTAATTCGTATGTGAGATGTTGGTTTAGTTCATTTTGTCTAAATGTATATGCTGATTTTCCAACATTTACATTTAAATAATAATAGTCGAGGAATTCTCCAATGTAATCTTTTAGTTTAGATATTTGTGAAAATGATTCAGTTGTGCCAACCAAATCATCAGCAAATGTATTATTTGATATTCCTAAGTTTTGGTTATTAATGATTCTATAACCAGTTACATTAGTGTTTAGTAGATTTAATAAAGGATCAAAAAATAGACCCCAAAGAAATGGGGATAATGGATGACCTTGAATAACTCCTTTAGTCACATAAATATCGTCAGTCATACCATGTGGTGTGATAATTTTCATATTATTACCTGATAGAAAATCAGATATAATATCTATTGTTTCTTGTGGGTAACCTCTAAATTCTAATGCTTCGATTAATGCCCAGTGTGGTACTTCATCAAAAGCTTTTTGTATGTCAATATATAATACATGAAGTTCTCTTTTATTGATTTTTGAATCTAAAAAGATGTTGTTCAGTACTGATATTGGTGATATTGTTGAACGTCCAGGTCTAAATCCATATTGGGATTCTGAAAAAGGACAATTTAGTTCGGTATAATTTTGTATTAGTTTAGTGAACATTGTAGCGTATAATTTATAAAAGTTACTTAAAATAGTTATACCTCTGTAATTAGATAATGATTGATTATTACCATTTTTATAGATTGTATATATTTTACCTTTTTTCCATGAGGGTGGTATTTTTTTTAAGTTTTTACAACAGTTAAAAATGTTTAGTAGAATAAATAAACCTGATTCAGGTAAATTTTTAATATATTCGTTTAATATTTCATCAACCCCTGCTGCTTTATTATTTGATAATAAAGAAATTGTTGAGGTTAAGTCATTTAAATTAAAATTATTTAATAATTTTCTTTTGTAAAATTCATTTTTAAACCATTTATCACTACCTCTGAATGGGATTTCGTACCATTTTTGGTTATTGAATATTGGTTTTGATTTATTTTGTGGTGATTCATTTAATAAGTTTTTAAAATATTTTTCATATTCTTTCTTTACTAATGTTGGGTTGGAAATTATATTATTGTCAACTGCAACACAGGATGCTTGTTGGTTTGTTTTATATTTATCTTTTTTTATTAAATTATAAAATTCTTTATTCCTTGATCTTTTTAATTTTTCAAGTTTATCTTTGTAATTTTTAATTGAATCATAATTTGATTCCTTTTTGTTTTTATATAAGTTTTGAATATATATTTTTTAATTTCAATTAATGATTTTAATATATTATCTATTAATTGAATATCATTTGTAGAAGGAGATGTACTTAATGTACAGAAATATTTAAATTCAAACCAGTTATCGTTATGGTCTGTTAAGGTATCATTTATTATTGATTGTAGTTTATCAAATTTTGGTAGTAATTTTTTTTTTGTTTTAGAAATTTTTAATTGAATGTCATTTGTTATTTTTGATTTTAGTGAATCAATAATTTGGTAACAATCATGTAGTTTATTAATGATTTTTTTAAAAAATAAATCATTTTTTAAGAATATGTCATTTTTTTCTTTTGGTGGTTTAGTCCATTTTAAATTATTGTTGGCTGAATTTAAAATAGTTTCAGTGAATTTATTTACAAGATTTTGGAGATCAATTAGAGAATTTAAATTTTCTGATTCAGTTTCCAGTTGGATTAGATCAGTTGATAATTGTTTTTTGAATTCACTAAAATCTTGTTGTTCATATGGTAAAAGTTTTTTAATAAAATTTTTATTATTATTTTCGATTGTAGAATTTAGATTTTCATTGTTTATAAAGTTAATGTTAATAGATATTTTAACAGGTTTATGATCACTTGATATTTTTGAATGTGATAAAATTTTATAAGAATTTATTAAATGTCTGTTTTTTATGTCTAATAGATGTGCATCTATTCTTGATTTGGTTGTGTAATCATCTCTAATTGTTATACACGTATAGTCTTTGTTAGTGTTAAAATCATGATAAAAGTCCATTAGATTATTATCTTCAAGAAATTTATTATAAGGGACGGTTGAATCATTATTAACGTGATTGTTTAGATTTGATAGTTTATCAAAATTAGGTTGGTAAAATGAATTAAAATCACCGGATAGTATTATAATATTTTCTGGTGATTCTAAATTGAAGTTTGTGTTGATTTTGTTTAAACAATTTTTTAATTTTATATTAAAAAAGTTATTTTTTTTTGATTCTTCTGATTCACCATAGCAATTTAATATGCCCAGTTTGCCATTATCAAATTTGAATGGTAGAAACAGTAATCTACCTTGTGAATCTTTGACGATGTCATTATGGATTAAATTGTTTAGTAAGTTTTTATGAATAATAGTAGCAACACCTGATTGTGCTTTATATGATAATTCTTTATTTTCAAATTTATTTAATATAGATAATTCATCATTATTTAATGAATTTCTAGGTTTAGTATTTAGTGTTGAAATATCATTTTTATAAATATGATCAATTGAAGAAAAGAAGATAGTAAAATCAGTTTTTTCAAATAAGTTATTTAAATTTTTAATTTCATCACGAGTAAATAGTTTAGTTTCTTGTAAACATATAATTTTTATATTCTTTTTTATAGAAAGTTTAATAATATTTTTTATTTTAGTAGTAAAATCGCCGTTAATGTTAAAAGACAATATATTTAAATTTTTAAAATTAATATTTATTTTATTTGTTTTTTGAGTGTTTAAAATAGCAAAATGATCATCAAGAACAGTATTATTGTAATTATTATTATTAATATCTTCCATAATTATTTGTACGATATCTTTTTTTATTTTGGTGGTGGTTTTTGTTGGTGGTGGTTGGCTGTTCAGGTGGATGTATAATGATACCAAAGTCTTTGAATTCGTGCTTTGACTTTCTGTCGAATTTCTTTAGTAAGTTAAAATATTCAATTATTGAATCTTCTATTTTATTGTTGGAATAACTTAAACATTTTACTATATGTAAAAAGTCTTCAATATCAGTGTAATTGCATATAATGTTAGGTTTAAATCCAATCTGAGGTTGTGATTGGTATTGGATAATTAGGTTTTTTAATAAATGCGAGCATTCGTTTTCGAATGATTTATTAATAAAGGTGGTAGGTAATGTGGTGGGTAATGTGTTTGGTAGAGTGGTATTGGTGGTAGGAACAAATGAAATTGCAGATATAATTTCATTGTTTAATTTAATGGAACCAATATGGGATAACCATAAATCGAGTTTTAATCGCTTACTTGGGTCAAGTGGATTGTTGCAGATTGAGAACTTGTTAAGTAGAACATGTTGGTCTGCAGTGTAGATGAATGATTCAATATTGATTGTACATTCATCTAAGTTTATGGTGTTTTGGTTTAAATTTGATAGTGGACCATGATTTAAGTAGGTTGATCTTAATGTGAAGTGATGGTTGTTGTTTTTTGTGAAAAATGTATCACAATTAGAGTTGGGGATAACAGATATGATTTTATTAAACAAAGGTAGTATTATTTCCATATTATTGTTTTGAGGTGTTGAAACTTCATATGACAATTGGAATTCTTTTTTTGGTATTGTTAAATCTTTGTAATGTGGGAGATCTGATGATCCAGTGTTTATTTGACAGTTGTTGTGAAAAAGGAATAGTGATCTTTCTAAACATGAATTAAATTTTAGTGATAGATGTTTGAAAATGATCGATTGGTCAAATTTATCGGTTTGAATGTTGTTTATATGGGTGATGTATTTGAGTGTTGTTGGATTTATTCTTTTTAGTAGAAGTTGTGATAAAATTGCATCAAAATCAGTATAAAGTGATATATTATTTGGTTGTAATCCAAATGGTTCTGGAACTGTGAATTTAAGTTCTAGTATTTCTTTACCAGTTTTGATTTTGATAATGTTTTGATTTGAAAGATTTTTCAGGAAACTGTCTCTTGACAGATCATTTGTGAATGTTGCGATAATTTTATCCTTTGTTTGGTTTACCTCAGGCGCACCAGTATAGTTTTGGATTATGTTGGTTATGTTGTTATGATGTGTAGTTGGTAGTTCAAAAAATAGTATTGGTTCATTATTCTTAATAATATTATTTAAAATTTTTTTTTTAAAATTTGGGTCTGAAATAAATGATGAGTTTGAATGATAATTTTTGTTTTTGTAATTTTGGTTTTTTGAAATGTTAAAAGAGTTGTTTGGGTTATGAGATTTATTAAATTTTGGAGTAGTTTTTGGGTGTTCTGTGTGGGTGTTTTGATGAGTATTTGGTGGAGAAAATGGATTTTGGGTAGAATGTTGATTATTTTGTGTTGAGATAATGCTATCAATAGTATCCATGTTGCCATCACCATTAATTTGATTATTATTTGTGGACATTTTGTTTGTGAATTTATAAATAAAAGAGATACAACGATCAGCTAAAGAGATTTCAGTTAGATTCCGTCTACTTAAAAAAGTTTTAAAAAATCAAAGAAAATTTTGGATTTATTTAAAACAGTTAATGAAAGTGTATGTGGTGATATATGTAAATTATATAAAAATAAACAAAAGTGTGTAAAAATAAAATGAATTGTATAAAAAGTGGTAAATAAGGTTAAAAAAATGAATGATGTTGTGATTGGTGGTAATAAATTATAGCTAAAGATATGATAATAATGACTATAATAAAAAAGTATGTGTACACTGGTGGTATGTAAAATTTGTGTATAAAAGCCTGGATGGCTCAGTAGGCAGAGCGAGCGGCTGTTAACCGCTAGGTCCATGGTTCGATCCCATGTCTAGGCGATTTTTTATTGTTCCAATCTTCCTGGTTTTTTTTTTTTTTTTTTTTCTTTACTGGGGAAATTATAAACCGCGCCCCAAAACCACCTCACAAACCTTTCGAACAATCAATTAATCACATTTGGTATAATATTAAACAATAACTGATAAATTATATGAATCAATTTCAACCAAAAATCGAATTAGAGGTTAATTATCCAAATATTAATAAACTATAATAACTAAATAATTAAATAAAAAAAATACTTTAACTTAAAATCTTTAATATAAAATTTTGCATTATAAAAATAACAATAAAAAAAAAATAAAAATGTTTATTTTATAGCCTTTTTTAAAAATTAAACCCAGATGATTTATTTTTAAAAAAATTAATGTTAATTTTTATAATTTGTTTCTTTATATAATTATAACTTATTATAATAAAATTATTTATATAGTTATTCCTTATTATATATATTTAAATATAAATATATATATAGAAATATATACCCAATTTTAATATTTTTATTGTAATTTTTTTTTTATAATAATAAAAAAAGTTACTTTCTAAATAATTTATAAATTTTTGTTTTTTTTTTTATTTTTATTTTTTTTTTTAAAAATTATTTAAGGTTTTGGTTTTGGTTTTTTATTTTTTCAATTCAAAGTTAACAAACCAGTTTATTGTAAATTAATAATAATTATTTAAAATGTCCTCTTTTATTTAGGCTTTAGAATTATTCTCCCTCAATGGAGAATAATTATTCTATTGCAATATTAAAAAATTTTAATCAAAATTATTATATTTTTTAATCATATACATAAATAAATCACCTCCTCATATCTCAAGAAAATGTTTCAGAACTTTATATTCACTATTTATTTCTATTCTAAATAATTTTTTTTTTTCTTTAATTTAAATTTTTTTACTTTCCTCAACAAATAATTTTTCATATCAGCTTATTCCAAAATAATAATCAAATAAAATTAAATATTAAAATAATTTATTATCCATAATCAAATCACAAATAAAAATAAATTTTCTGTCAATTATGTCAGGTTTTTTCATTTTTATTTTTACCTTAGTTTATAATTTATTTTTTTTAATGTTTTGCATTTTTGTAAAAATAATTTCAAAAAACAATCAAATTTTCATATTTTTATTTTTTTCACACACCATATTAATTAAAAAAAAAAAAAAAAAAAAGTAAAATGTTTATTTCAGTAATTGTAGTTATCTCAATTTATTTATTATTATTTTATTATCACCAAGCATGGCATCAACAACAACAACCCACCAAATCCACCACAACAACAATTAAAACCAACTCCACAAACAATATCACAACAACTAATACCACAACCAACCCCAACTACAAAGCCAGCACCACAATACACACCATACTCAAGTAATTTTTCTCCAGCATACCAATCAACATAATAATAATGGCAGTATATTTTAACAAAATAAACTTTGTCTAACTATTTTAAATAATTTCAATCATTTTACAGTATAAAAAGTTTCAAACTATATTTTGAAAAAGTACAATAATGATTTAAATAATAAAAATAAAATAATTATGTAATTATAAATTATATCGACAATATTAATAATTATAAATGTATTAATAGGATATAGATATTATAATTAATAAAACAAATTTAATAGATGTATATATTATTGTTGTTTCTATTTATTATATAAATAATATTTCACGAGAAACATCAGAATCAACCACATTAAGAACAATTTTAAAAGAAACCACTATTATGAACCATCACACAATATTGACCCAACCTTTACAAATAACTTTCAATAATAATAGCTATAGATTATATAAATATTAAATAACTCATATTTAAATAATCATTCAACATTCCAATTTCAAAAATGAATAGTTTAATTATTTTCTTTTATTTCTTTTTTATTTATGTTGTTTCTATATTTTATATAAATATTTCAGAAATATCACCAGAATTAACCATAATAATAATAATATTAAAATAATCAAATACTATGAACCATCACAATATTGACATAATAAACAATAATGGTAATATTTTTTTTTTTTTTTTTTTTTTTTAAATGATTACTAATTAAATTTATAATATTGGTTTTTGACAATTCTAACTTATCAATTATTTAAATAGCAATTTTTATTATAGTGATTTTGGTAATAATTTTATATCAATTAATGCTCCTAATTTCTAATATTAAAAAATACTATCAAACAAATACAACACTTATATCCATATTATTTGGTACAAATAAATATCTTTAATCTCAAATCCATCACAGACATCATATACAATTATTTATTATTATTATTACTATTATTATTATTATTTAAAATTCTCACACCCTTAACAAAGATTTTAATTTAACAATTAAGAAAAACTTTATTTTAAAATTTTTTTTTTTTAATTTTTTTTTTTTTGTAATTCATTGGTAAATTTTTGTATTGCCCAAAAACAAATTTTTTCCATAAAAGAAAGTTATTTATAAAAATTTTTTTTTTTTTTTTTAAAAGTGTAGATAATTAAAAGCAAATGATTTAAACTAATCAGTACATATATATATATATTATTAATATTAATTTTTTTTTTTTTTTTTAAAAGTGAAGATAATTAAAAGCAAATGATTTAAATTAATCAGTAAAATATATTAATTTATATTTGTAATTTTATTTATTTTTTTTTGTAAAAGTAATTTATCACCAGGAAGAAATATGCTTAAGGATGATTTATAATTATTTTTTTGTGTTAGCTAGAGATTAATCTGAATCAAGTTACAGCCGCACCATGGTGAGAACTGCCCAGTGAATCTAACTTCAATGATTCCAATCACAGTTAAGCATTACCAACCAAGTGTTGATCGACTCGGTCATTCAATTAACGAAGCTCAACGAACTCATTAACTTAATAGACTTCTTTGTCATTAACCACACACAGGTAAATTTCTTTTACTTAACCACCCTATTGTACAGGGTTTCCCTCCTAGAGATTATCGTGATAGCTCAGACCTTCCCAAATTATATTGGTCACCAATTTCTTTACATTTATAATTATATTGATTTTCTGATCAATATTTCCATTTGTTTAATATATCGCTGGTTTCAAGCCAACACTTTTGAATAACTAATAAATCACAAAAAAATGTGACAAAATGTTTTAAACTATTTTTATAAACTCGTAAAAATATGGGAAAAATAAATTTTTTTTTTTTTTGATTTTTTTTATATTTT